TTTAAGCTTTCTCCAAAAGGAATGAAACATTCATGTGAAGCAGAACGAAGACAAAAGAAGGACCAATTATATAGATATTGATATACAGATATAGATACACAAGTACAGTATTATTCGTGGACAGAATAGACTAGAGTATTTTACAGAGCAGTAGGCAAAGAAAAGTATCAAACCACAGAGAGCATTTTATACAGTCATCTATGCTAGGCAGGGGAGTATTTGAAGATCTTATTTTGCCACCCGTTTGGGAATACGTAACCCAACTGGGGATCAATAAAGATCTGTTTCCTATCTTCACTTGATGAAATTACTTTTTATTATTATTATTTTCATGGTACATAATTCAGAATGTTCTTCTTGTAACTTTCTGGCTTCTGTTGGACTTTGTATCTGAGCCTATAATTTAGTACACAGAGACAAAGATAGTCTGGGAGGCTTGATCTCAACAGATATTCTATTTTCTAATTCCTCTAACTGAACATTAATTGATGCCACTAGTTCTAATTTTCCTGATGACTTTTCACTCTCATAGGCATTTGCTTCCACAGAACATAAAATTCCAATAATTTTAAAACTTTTTTAAAAGTTGGAATTATTCCACCTGTAAATACATAGATAAGCTGGAATCTTTTTTAAAAAGGAAGGCTATATTCCTTAAATAATATAGCAACAGAGAAATAGCAATAATATAGCAAGAGAGAAATAATGAATAACAGCAATGAAAACAAATAATAGCAGCAGTATTGTTATGTGAAAAAGGGACATTGGGGTTAAGAGTTGGATTTAATCCAACTATAATATACCCATTGAATTGACAGGAATGTGGTAGGCAATACTAATGTAGCTCCTGTTGATCCAATAGATTTCTTCTAGTTGGCCCTAACTACAGTGGGGTCTTGACTTGAGAATTTAATCCGTATTGGAAGGCGGTTCTCAAGTCAAAAAGTCTGTAAGTCAAGTCTCCATTGACCTACAGTGCATTGAAAACCGATTAATCCTGTAACAGGCCGTTTTTGTTCCATTTTGGTTTTTTTCTGGTCTGTAAGTCAATTCTCAGGCTGCAAGTCAAACCTAAATTTTGCGGCCAGAGAAATCTGTAACTCAAAAAGTCTGTAAGTCAAGCCGTCTGTAAGTCAAGGGTCCACTGTATTAGATTGAGCCCATAATAGCAAGGCAGTTCAGATCTTAAGCTGAAAGTTGGCAAACCACCAGTAATTGTCAATATCCAGCAGCCTCAGTCTTGCCATCTGTATAATGGAGGAACGCTGTACAGTACTTCCTGAAGGGGGAGCTGTAAAGACTACAGAGACATGGTAAGAGTGAATATCTGCATAGGGACAAGCAAGATGTGATGGGTTATAATGAAAGAGTATCAAAAAGTCAGGCTCCACTTTTATTTCCATGCTATCTCAAACCAAGCCCTCGTTTTTATGTGTCGGAGTAAACTAAAACTAAGCAGTCCCGGCAAATGAGTGGGTGACCTGAAGCTTTGTCTAACAACAGAACTCATTTGGCCTCCAGCACATCCAAGGCGACGTGTTCTTCCCCTTCACTTTTTCTTACTCTTGCAAGTGATGGAGTAACGAAGAGGAGACCTTATAGGGGGGAAAGAGACTCTGGCGTTGATAAGATTAGACAAGAATACGTGCTTATTAGACGATATAAGGGAGCCAGGCAGAGGCAGCGAAGCAGGAAGCTCCGGGGTGCACCGAAAGTGATAACCAGAAGGTGGAGCTCGGTAACCTAACCCGGTGGGCGAGCGCGGCGCGTCATTCCCCCTCCCCCCAATCGCGCAAGAAATCTCCCAATAAACTCATTTTGATCTTTAGGACCTCCTTTTCCGGGAGGAGAAGGGGGCCCAGAGTCAAGGTCAACGTGATCTAACTACCAGCAGTAACGCGACTCCTGGGGTCAAAGTTAAGGGCCTGATTTATGGTAGCTGGAAGAACCCGCTCCGCCCACTTCTGTAGAGGAGGCCATGAAGGCTGGTGCAGGCAGCGGTTTGCTCGGCCACCAAAGCGCACGCACACACACACACCACACACACACAGCCCACTATGGGTTCTGTCTCTGTCTTCATCCCCATGGTTCACCCTTCCTCCTTAATAGGCTTCAACACCAAGGACTTAAGGAGGACGAGGACGAGGAAAGGCAAGAGAGAGATTTCCAAACCAGTCCACGGCCTTTCCTGGAGAGAGCAGAGCAGCGTTTCCTCCCAAAAAAACCATTGCCAAAGGGAACAGTATTTTAGCGAAGGAGAGGGAGAGAACGAAAGCAACTCCTCCCCCTCCCTCATCTCTCAATTGCCAAAAGTAAACGCAAGGCAATGTTCACTGTAAAACTGAAAGCAGCCATCAGACAAAGTACTTTTTTTAAAATGAAAAAGAGAGGCTAGCTCTTTGCTTTTAAAAATGCATATCAAAAATTTATTAAAATGCCTGATTGTGGTCTTCCAGTAGACTAGAAAGAAAGCTAGTAGAAAAAGAGAGGAGAAATAAAAACAGGAAGGACATCCTTGAACTTGGCCTCTACGCCTTCCATTTACGTGAGTGATCATGAACTTTTCATTAGTGTTTATCTATTTACACTTCTGGCCTTTCTAACAACAACAACGAATACCAACAATTTGTATTCTTGTACTAACGTTTGTAGGAGGCACAGGAGAGAGAAATATTTGGGAACTATATAAAAAGGAAGAAAGCTTTGTCTGAGGTTTACGGTCCAATTCCACAGCGAGGCACTGGGATAGGAAGAGGTAACGCTCAGTAGAATACATTTATTTTTTCTATCAATTATTATTGCCTTTATTAAAGTTTGGTCATGTTACGTCAAACAAAGAGTACTGCTTAAACAATCTCTATGGCACCCAAGAGAAATTGTGTAGATTACTTAAGTACCTAAAATAAAATAAAATAAAATAAATACACAACTATATCCTACTGATATATATATATATATATACACACACACACACCCTTGTCCTACATGCATTTTTGATTATGCAACTTGCATTGAAATCAGTGGATTTTTCTATGCAGAGTCTTTTCCGAATCAGAATGACAGGCCTGTAAATGTTTGAATACATTTCTAAAGCTTCTTCTAAAGGCAAACACTTTGATTAAAAATAATTCACAATATGCCCCTCCTTCATTTACCTGGAAATAAGAAATAACTGACTTCAGCAGAATTTTCATCAAACTGATACATTAAGTTGGGATCCATAACCATACATGCAGTTGTATTTTCTTTGAATTTGTAATTGTCTCTTTCCTTTCTTCTAGTTATCTCCTCCCAAGTGGAACTGAAAAATCAGAGATTAAAAATTAAAATCTTTCTCTCACTAAAGGACCAAGAGAAATCATTTGTTCTTAAGATCAATAGATCAAATGTGGTATTTACTATGCACCAACAGTGGTCGAATCTAAGCACATTTATCTGGAAGTGAGCCACATGAATTTCAGAGGAACTTGAACACAATTTTGTATTAAGAAAAGATAAGTTTAATACAATGGCAAGAACTATATACTGTATTTTAGAGCAGGATCCTATGAACATTTGTCCTGTAGTAAGACCCGTTGACTTCAGACAGATATAGCTGTTATAAATGTATGCACCTTTTAAGGAATTATTGTCCATATATTAAAAAAAAACAAAGAAATCAAGACTTCAGACTTTAATGGTAGGTCAGATTTAAATAAGGAAGGTTGAAGTTAGAGGGCAGATTCACTCAGAACTATCAATATAATAGAGAATGCAAAATAAAATGTTATGAGTTCAGGCCTGTGCATGTCTACTTGGAAGTAACACCCATTGAGTTCAATGGGACCAGTTCCTAGGTAAGTGCATATAGGAGTGCAATCAAAAGATTTTTTTTGCTGTTGTTCTAACTTTAGTAGTTTTTTAAACTATAGCATAAATTATTTCACATATTTCAGTGTCTTTAAAGGCACTTATAAGGTTTCGGTAGTAGACAGACTTTTTCAAATGTAATGGATGGTTGATTGCCATGTGATCAATTAGCAAAAAAAATCAATACATGGTCAGCTCTCATATATGTCCATGCAATTCTAAAATATACCTTACATCACATATAACGCAGATATTTTGATATTGATTACTTCTCATATGTACAAGTCACCTTAAAGGTAGATAAAGGTAGGAGTGTATAAATCACGGATTTTCTTCCTGGAAAAAGTGTTCGTTTAATTCCGCGTAGCAATTAAAGAGGATAGTGTTCCTTCACTTCTGCATGATGCTCCCAAACAGCTAACAGACAAACAGAGCCAAATTCAAACCGGAACCGGCGTGGTTACTCAGAATTTATTTAAAATTGGTTCGATTTTAGGCAGTTTTCCGTCTTCCTGCTCTTCTTCCCCATCCTCCCATTTTCTTCTTCCCATTCCCTAAAGCAGTTCTTAATTATTCAACTTCGTACAAAGAAGGATAATATATTTCGTGTAGCAATGGCGACAAATATCTACCCCCCCCCCCCATTGTAAATTGCACACGGTTTTCTCCCCCTCCCCCCCACCTCGCCTGCCATAAGAGTAACCGCAACATGGCGTCGCTCTTCAGTCCCCGTGTTGCAAATCGAGTTTTAACTTGTTCTAGAAAACAAAAACAGTAACGATAATTTTTGGGGAAAAAAATAAAAATAAAGACAAATGAACCCGGACCGACGTCAGTCAGCGCTAGCAAGTAAAATTCGGGTGTTTCCGCCGAGATGGAGACTGGAGATGGCTGCGAAAGGACGGGGCGGGGGCGGGTGGGGAGGTCACTGAAGCCCCCCACGTGCGTGTTTTTCTGATTAGTTCGTCTCCCTCCCCCCCACTTCCTCATCGCCTGTGCCGGCAAGGGAGGCAGCGGAGAATCCGGCAAGAGTTCCTCTCCCGCCTTCTCCCGGGCTCCCTTCCTTCCTTCTTTCCCTCCATCCATCCATTCTTTTTTTCTTTCTTTCCTTCCTCTCTGTCTTTCTGTTTTTTCTTCCCCCTCTCTCTCCTCCTTCGTGTCGCCGTCTCACGGGCTGCCGCCGCCGCCGCCTCCGCCGCCACTCGTGCTGTTGGCAGCGGCGGCGGTCTTCACTTTGGCCACGACTTTCTTCTCTTTCACCCTCCGGTTCTGGAACCAAATGGTGATCTGTCTCTCGGTGAGGTTGGTGGCGGCGGAGATCTTCCTCCTCTTGTCCTTGGTGATGAACTTGCTGTTGGAGTACTCTTTCTCCAGCTCTTTCAGCTGCCCTTTGCTGTAGGGGATCCTCTTCTTGCGGCCCCGGCGGAAGGTGCAGCCCTCGGGCGGGTGTTGGCCTACAGCTTCTGGCCAGCCAGAGAAAAGGAGCAAAGAAAAAAGAAACAAAGAGGGAAACGCATTAAACTGACCACGAGTTAGCATTGCGAGTCCGCTGGCTGGCTGGGGGAGGGGAGGGGGGACCCAACCCCGGGGGAGAGAAATTGACAAACACGGCCAGACCTTTGTCTGGCAATTCCCAGACCGAGTGAAATGGACTAATGTGCAGACCCCGGACTTTCTGAGCACCCCCATGTCCCCGGATCAAGACCCCCCTCCCTCAAAAATCCCTGTTCTTAATCTTCCTTCTCTATTTCCCCTCCCCACTGCTTTGCTCTGCTTATTCCCAAACGTGTTTCTCTCTTCCTTTTCATGAGACACCGGCCTGCCTCCCGCCATATCCCCTTATTGCCACCACGATGCGGGCCATGTTATCTCTGTGGTCTGTGAAAGCATCGCTCCGATCCTACGGCCAGAGCTTTCCCTTACACGTGGAATCCTACGGAATGGGTGTGTGCAAATTAATCAGACTGGAACTGGTGAATTATGCGTGAATTGTCAGATGCAACAACTGCCAAATCAGTCTTTCTGCTTCGTTGGGACTGCCCTAGGGAGTAAGTGAGCTACCCCTCCTCTCTTTTCCACCCTTTTCTTTCTCCTTTAGAAAACTGTCCCACATGCTAAAGAGAATGCAGGTGAGAATTAAAGTCACCACAGTTATTTATTGTTTATTTAATCTCCCCCCCCCTTTCTTCCTCAGATTAGTTCAGATTAATTTGTAGTCAGTGTTGAAACCCGCCAAGTAACTTTTGCACAATTTGTAAACAATTAATTGGCTGTTGATTTCTGTCATAACTGCTGCCAAGTAAAGTTGGAAGGGGGGAGAACTAGATTTTTTTCCCTAACACTATGCTTTGGTTGGTCTATGTTTTAGCAACCTTTGGTGAATTCACAGAGTTGCACAGTCCAAATTAGATTTCTCCCCTGTTCCTCCTTCTCAAACACAAGTTCACAATTTGGTGGCAATCCTCCATACTTACGGGAACATTAATGCAAATCCACCACTCACACCAGTGTGTGTCACTGGACAGAGCTGGAGGGGCAGCCTGTAGTGAATTGTTTTTGAAGAAAACTGGGCGGCATCTTACTTTCTAGGAGCAGAACTCGCAGCACTGTATTATTTCTAAAGCAGATTTAATTACTTGGTGTAGCATGACATGGGTGGGGAAATGCCAGAATATGGGATTGGATTAAGGTCTTGTAGTGTTCCATAAATAAAATATAAATATTCAATTTAATAATAAGGAATGAATTATTTTACAGCTCAAAAACTATACAGAGCTATAAAGATTGTAAGGAAGTGATTGAAATATTTCTTCCCATGGTCTGTTCTCTCTCTCTCTCTCTCTCTCTCTCTCTCTCTCTCTCTCTCTCTCTCTCACACATTACACACTCATCTCTCGCTCTCTCTCTCTCTCTCTCTCTCTCTTACACATTAGACAATCATCTTACTGCAAACAACCAAAATTCTACCTTAACACTGCATGTGAGAACACAACTCTAGCAAACCTGTTCCACAGTGTAAAGCAGATGAAAATAAAGGACAAAAAAATCAGAACACAATGGTTGCCTTTCAGTCATTTGAAACTGTGTGCTTAAAAAAAATGCAGTTGTCACAAATTCTCACTGTCCCTATAACATACATATATGAAATAATTTTATTCCTGTTTAATCTACATTTCTGTCATTTTAGGTCACCAAAATGTCATTTCAGATAGATATCTCCCTTTACAGATTCACAACGTTTTGTAACTAGTGAACAGAACAGATTCACATAGATTTTTTAAAATACTGTAGTGTGGTTACAGTAGTTGCACTTAGAACCATTTGAACCAGTGGAACCTACAGAGTAGCTGATTTACTAAATCCCATGGATTCAATGGGCCTAATATGGTGCAATTTACTGTGTAAGCAACAAGATACTGATAATGTGTAATTTATTCATTTCAGGAACTTATTAATATATGGAAGACTGGATAGAAGATAATATATAATTTCACAACAATTATTCACAATCCAGATCCTTGGTTATGAATTCCAAGCCCATATACAGCTTGCAATATTTTAGTAAATAAGTGTTTTAAAACATATACCTAACCAAAGTTAGTTTTTAAGCAGTGGGTTGCTTCCACTAGTTAGAACAGACCTATTGAAATTAGTGGAAATTTCAAATAGTCCTGAGTTATTTCGGTCCCATTGATTTTAAGGGATCTGCTTTCAAATTACAGTAATTAATCTTGGATCGAGTCCACTGTATTTAAAGTCCTTAATCTGATGCTGCTCAACGTTTTTGTAATTTGCCTGTTCTAAGTTTCTGAGTTTTTGTAAGATTAGAGTAATGCTTTCCAGTCCAAATGCTAAAGAATAATAGTAAATGGTGGCAGTAAAGCTTATACAACATTATATATTACTGAAACCTTTGTAACAAATATTTATCCCTGTTGGCAGATACACTGCCACAACAATACTGTGCTGTGATGATAGAAGGAGACACACATTACTGCTGTGTGAATTATTGTTGTTCTGCATTATTTAATTTAAATAGTTATAATTGCTTGCTGTGATTGTGCAGTCATTACATAAATGAATCACATGTCTAGAGTGAGTGTGTGATGCCATCAGCTTTTGGGGAAATTACCAGATCCCCACATAGCAGATTAAGCTTGACCATAATATCCTGAATGTATTAAGAGTGACACACTGTGTGGATTCAATGATGTATAACATTACTGTTTAATACAGAGTGCCATTTCAATAACTCCCCCCTCCCTCAAATATGTGTCTGAAATTACATAACTATATCACTGGTGCTAATCCAGTGGGAATTCTCCTATACAAGTCCCATTCAGATTTATGGGAGGGTTTGCTTTTATTTTATTTTATTTTATTATTTATTCTTTCATTCATTCAGTTTTTACTCTGCCCATCTAGATACAAACGAATATACTCTGGGCGGCTTATTTTATTTTATTTGCATGCGATGAAGTCAATTATGACTTACAGTGTCCTTTTGCAGGGTTTTCTAGGTAGAGAATACACAGAAGCAGATTTACCATCCCCTTCTTCTGAGGGCACCCTGGGACTCTTGCCCTAGGAAGGCACAGTGGGGAATCGAACTGCCAGCTTCTGAACCATTGAGCTATCCAGTTAGCTTTGCCTTTGAGATAGCCCCATTCATTTCAGCTGGAACTTTGCAAGAGAGTTTCTTGTTACTGCATCTCATTTTAGATTAAGTAGTAGTTAAAGACTAAGGATTCAAAATACTGAATAAGAATAACATAAAATTTAGGGGTACTGACAGTCGTCATGAAGCAAACCTATCCTTATATTCACTGGAAGTCCCAGACATTCTGCTGTATGCATTGAACCTAAAAATTCTGCAATTTACTTGTTTGGGGCCTACAAAAGTACATGTGGACAATAATGCTGCCCAAAATCCAGTTGCTTAGCCTAGTAAATAGCATTAGAAGAGAACCATGGAACCAATGGAGATTTAGTGAGTCAACTCCTCTGTAAGTTCCATTGATTTGAATGGCTCCACTCTAATTATGACTTACTATGTTAAAGCTAGAACAGACCCATTTGAATCAATGGAATTTACAGAGGAGTTGACTCACCAAGTCCCCATTGACCTAATGGCCCTACTCTAGTGTGATTTAAAATAGGATTTTGGACACTGAGTTTTTAGGAACACCTTTTAAATATGCCTAAACAATATTATTTTAAAAACCTGAATCACTTCTGTTATTTCTGGGCTCATCCTCTGTCTTCATGAATGCATATGTTGTGTATTTTATTGTTATTTTCAAATCTTGGTCATCTTCTGCTGTGTCATTAATCTCTATTGTTACTTTATCCTCTCAAAATATTGTCAACGGTTGGGAAAATGTATAATAAAAAGTGAGATACAAATATTTAATAAAAAGTGAGATACAAATATTTAAAACCCACATTTGGTGTGCCGCTTTAAGTAGTTATACTGTGAAAATAATAATTGCTGAATGTATAACACTGCACCGTACTAAGTCAACAAGGCCTAGATATCATCAGAATTACATATAATTATGTATGTCTTGTGACAAAAAGAAAGCTAATCCTATATTATGGCTTAAAACAGATATTTCTGTCAAATGATTAAGCCCCTGTTAGAGCCAGCATCTGAATGCACATGAAGGATGATTTCAAGGCAAGCAGAAGGATTTTTTTTTCAAGAATAATTTGTGTAAACCTCCAGATATGTAAAGTGTAGCATAGGTGTGTAACTAATAAATGAAAGAAGATTTTAGTTTTGTTTATAAAACTAAACTTTAGGAAAACTTTAGATGATATGATCTGTTCCTCTGAAAATAAATTGAACTTCAATTGAGTTAATATATTAATTGATTACCATGTGGAACTGCAGCAGAAGTTGCTTCATTCACTACAGTTTTTCCATTGTCACAAAACAATGATTACATAGAACGGATGAAAATGATTATATTGCTGCATATGCAATTAAAGAGAAATAAAAATAAAGTAGAATTATTGTGTGAATCAGAATATACACAATGCTGGATTCAGACAGTCATGTAAATAACTGTACAGTTCAATGAGTCTGCTCTAACAAAATCTGAATCCAGCCTAAAGTTCGAGGATATACAGATTTTTTTAAATGGACAGAATATTATTAAATAGTGTGTTTTAAATTGTTGAGTTAACATGGGAAGATTCATATTCATGAACAGAACTCAACCAGAGGTAGTTCAATGTATTTTCCTGTCTTAAAAGTATAGCCACAAACACTACCCCTGTCAAGCCATAAGGGACAGTAGCCCAGACCAGGCAAGTTACTAAAGAAAAACATTTCATAAGCAACTCTCCCTCTACCTGGCAGTCAAGACACAAGTATAATAAATTGTGTAACTCCCAATTTTCTGCCCTTTTCTTGACATTTCAAAGCCAGAGGTTGTAGCTTCATTCTCTCTTAAGGGAAGGACCAGCTCCACACACAAGGACACCATAACCAAAAGGCTGGCAATGCTTTGATTGTCTGATGACTATCCTTCAAATGTGCAACCTTAAAGGCAGACATCTCTTTTCTAAGAAACGTGTGTGTGTGTGTGTGTGTGCGTGCGTGCGTGCGTGTGTGTGTGTGTGCGCGCGCGCGCATCTACCTCTAAGGGAAAGAAGACAAAAACCCTCACACCCACAAAATTGTAAAGCTGCCTGGAGGTTCTAAGTGCAGCGGTGGTTGCTTTAAATATCTTGTGCATGCAGAGGTTTTTAGGTGGCGGCAGCATTCCATTTGGATGCAAGTCAGTTGCGGGGTGGGGGGGAATGATTAGATTACTGTTGGCTTTCCCCTTCAGTGTGTAAAATCCCATGATGCTTTGCATGGTCCCCTTTGGGTAACTGATGTTCCATAAGGTTTGGCCACAAGGGGTCGTGGAATCTAATTCTTTCTGCCCCCTCCCCCTTTTGCACCGTTCTGGAGGCCACTGCAGGCAATGGCTGCAAGGCTGCTGAGACTGTGCTATGTATGTGCTGCAGGCAACCTAGGAAAGTTCCTGGTGCCGGTGCTTAGTAAATCCTGCTCTTCTTTCAGGGGCCAAGAGGCAGTTTCTTAAATTCTGCAACAAGTGTGCCTTAGGTTGCACATTTGAGGGATAGTCATCAGACAATCAAAGGATTGCCAGCCTTTTCGTTATGGTGTCCTTGGATGTGGAGCTGGTCCTTCTCTTAAGAGAGAATGAAGCCACAACCTCTGGTTTTGAAATGTCAAGAAAGGGCAGAAAATTGGGAGTTACACAATTTATTATACTTGGTACAGGGAGAGGTGCTTGTGAAATGTTTTTCTTTAGGTGCCAAAATAACTTGCCTGGCCTGGGTTACTGTCCCTTATGGCACTGAAATAAAGGGCCTCCATCATTCTACATTCTTTAATATCCCCCACTGGTCTCGAGGGGGGACAGCAATAATATCCAGTCATGCTATTATACTCTGTCTGTAATATTTCTGCATCTTCCCAAAGGCATTTGGAACCAGTCTAATGACACAGAAATTTTTTTGAAGAAAATAACCCCCTTTTTCAGTGGATTTGCAAGATTGTAATTTGGCAGGACATAGAGCTGATGGAAAGATGCAAGGAACAAATGGAGCAGGTAGCAACTCTGCTCTTTAAAAAATGCATCCTGCACCATCGCCAGATAGCATTTGGAACCAGTCTAATGACACAGAAAATTTTTTGAAGAAAACTAACCCCCTTTTTCAGTGGATTTGCAGGATTGTAATTTGGTAGTACATAGAGCTGACGGAAAGATGCAAGGAACAAATGGAGTGAGTAGCAACTCTGCTCTTTAAAAAAAGCATCCTGCGCCATCGCCAGATGTGTGTGTATTTTCACTTCTTAAAGAGAATGAACTAATTTGTTGGGGACATGATCTGATCAAAATGGACATTACAGCTTGCTTTTGGCCTCCAGCCTTACCTGCATGCAATTCTTGCTCAATGACACAGAAGGAACACCCCTAATCACAGATGTGTTCTAGGTGGGCAGGATTGTCTGTTCAGTGGTGAGGAAAAGACACTCTGCATGTGCTCAGAGACATCCATGATTCAGTCATAGGTATGATTACAGGTTCTGAATACCTCCCACATGGTCAAGAGCTGGCAAACTAGACCCAGTTCATGTTAAACTCTGGGTATTATCAACAACTGGTAAAATTATGAATCAAATATCTATGGTATTGAAAAGCAAATAAACACTTCTAACCTGCCCAGTCAGAAAGAACACTGAAAATAACTCCAAAGTGAGATTTCACAACCCTCCTGCAGTAGCACTTTCCATAATTAATTTGCTGTTCTAAATTAAAAACACTCACACAGATAATATATACGTACTTGTTTAACTTCATATATAATTTTATTAACATTCCAGGTATTATTGAGAGCTATTCATATTGCAATGGAAGCAACCCCTGAATGCTGACTACGGGTGCAGGGTTTGCCTATGTGTAGCAGACAATAATGCAGTTGTGCCACTGATCCACTGCACTCTTTTTTTCAATATCATAGGGCATATGAATTTATTAATTTTGGAGAATAATTTACAGAATCCACCAACTAGCATGGCCATAACATTTCCAAGCTCTGACACAAGCAGATGCGTCTACATACATACGTGTGTACACACACACACACACACACACACACACACACACACAGAGAGAGAGAGAGAGGATGTATACATATGCACCAAAATGCATGCATTCCTTGTGGGCTCTATTCCACACACTCACACCATACACATACCCCATGAACAGAAGTAACTTCACAGAATTCTAGGAAAAAAGTTAATTTAGGAAAGAGGTAAACTCTGTATTCATATACTGCAAAAAGTACAGTAAAGTAGACCAATAAATTTATTGTGGAAAATGCTATCACAGAAAGGCTCTGAAATCCTAGGATTATTTTCAATACTGTATGTATATGTATGTATGTGTGCATGCATGCATATAGATACACATACACATACATGCCTGCATACATACATCCGCATGTGTAGGGAGGTGTCATAAAGTACCCGAGAGAAGCCGCCGCCGAAACTGACTCGGAGTCCGCGCCTTGGCGAACAATGACCATCTCGCTTCCGTAGACCGCGACCCACACGTCTAGATTTAAAAACCGTGCCTTCCAGGAAGACTGGGGGCCCCAAACGCCTTTTTATTTTAGGGCGAGGCGCTCGGAAGGTCTCAGCCGAGTGGAAACCCCCGACCTCCAAGCCAGAGGTTTTGGCAGATCGGTGGCGGGGCGGGAGAGAGGGCCGGACCGGGCCGGGCCGGGCCGGCGGAGGGGAGGCAGGGGCCCGGCGAGCGAGCGCGGGAAGCGGGCGAAGAGCCGCCGCGTTGCTTTCGAACGGCACGCGTTACCTGCGAAGGCAGTTTTCCAAAAGTGTCCGGCGGGGCTTGGCTCTTTTGGACAACACATTTGGTTGTTCCACCCTCCGGCTAAGGCCCAGGGTTCGTGGTAAGGGTCCACGGGCAGGAGCGCTTCGTGCCGGGCATCGCCCGGGGGCCCGCCCAGGGTCTGGACCACCGACACGTCCAGGTAGCTGGCCATGGGCTGGTAAGGCCCCGCGTAGCCCGGGTAGAAGGCGAACTCGGCTGGCCGCGTGGGGTACTCCTCCGGGGCGGCGGCGGCGGCGGGGGCGGCGGAGGAGGAGGTGCAGGCGGCGTCCAGGTATTTCTCCGCCGGGTAGGCGGCCTGCGGCGGGGCCGGGCAGGGCTTGAGCGAACTCCGGGCCACCCGGTAGGAATAGTAGCCGCCGCCGAAGCAGCCGTAGGAGAAGGGCGAGGCGCTGGAGGTGGAGGATGGCTGCGGGATGGCCGGGCAGGGAATGCAGGGCTTGCCCGAGGTCTCGCCGGTGCCGTCCAGGGGAGGGTAACCGGGGCCGGGCATGGTGGCGCTGGGGTTGGAGGGGCTCGGCCCGCCCAAAG